ATGCCAGACTTGAAGAGTGAATGAACGTCTGACAGAACATGTAAGGCCTAGGTGCATACGTCTAACATTAAAGGCCCTCGAGGACCTGTCTAGACTCTCCTCTGAAACTGACACGACATTCCTGCAAGCACCACCAAGCTGCAGGGCGATGACGAATGACAAGGGAAGGTCTGCGGTTAAAGGGTCAGGGGTCATACATGTAAGCCCATCGACCGGCAACCAATCCCTGAGTTAGTCGGAGTCCTGCTAAACCGCACCACTGAAGGCACTCTTCAGCTTTCTATATTCCAGTTCAAGAGAAAAAACAGGACCCTCGCGTGCACGAAGGACTTTCATATCGGTGTTCTTCTTTTTTCCCTTTTTGCTTTCCCCGCAGACAAGCAAGCCGCTCAACCTAAAGCAGGTTGGGGGGGGGGGCGACTGAGGGAGGAGTGAAACCCTCATCGCCAGGAGAACAAGAATCAAAGGGGAGCTGGGGACAAATAAAGCTGCTCAAACTAAGAGAAAACAAAACTGACTACCCAAAACTAAAATCTATATTAGCACAAAACTTCTGAAGGAAAAGAAAGCACAAGCTTTGAAAAACAAACAGATCCTGCAAGTCAGAGCTCTTTCTGCAGGCTTAGAGCAGGAACGGTGAGTACCGCCTTCTCTGATGGGGGGGGGGAATCTGGATTGCGTGGTTGGTCTGGGAACATGTATCACTTGTGGTTCAGTAAGGGTGTTAGAGCTCCATGTGTGTAGAGACACGAGCATGGCAGCAGCCTGACGGGACGCACGTGTGGTGTGGTGTGTGTTTGATATGCTCATTTAATCACGTTCCGCCTCCTCCGTCATGTCGGGGCCAGCTTCTTGAAGCGAGGGCCACAGTCGTTAGGCGTATTCATAGTCCTGGTCCCCGTGCTGGAGGAGTTGAGGGTTGCTCACGGAGCCCGGGCGGTGGAGCGCGCCCTTCGTAGTCAAACACCAAGCAGGGGAGTCGTAGGGGGGCGGTGGGGTCGTTGTCCCGCCGCCGCAGACCCTACACATGAAGAAGACGGAGGGAGGGAGGGGGCCAGTACCACAGGTCCCTGCAGTGGACGCAAATATGTAAAAAAGGTTGAATACATGCCAGAAGTTGCTGGAAAGACAAGCTTCAGTAGTTTAGTATACAAAGTGATGAAGCTTGAGGTAAAAATGATTGAATTACTAGAAGAAAAGGGTAAAAGCATCGAGGAAATGCAAAATGCACTTTTGCTGCAGCTGGTGGAGACAGATGTTTTCTTACCGCACTAATTGATGTGTAATCTGCAACATGCTTGCTAATTTTAAAAGTTGATGTTTGTAAGCAAATCCAAGTTTTCATCTATAGTACAATAAACGACGTAGGGTTACCGCAAGTAGTGATCACCACTGATAGATAGAGGATAAAATCAACCCTAGCTATGGTAATACCTCATACACAGAATTACTGATGAAGCAATACATCCTGTATATATACTACAACAGTATACTGTATAGAGTTTATTAAAGGAACATGGCATCTCGACATCGATGTATTCTTGGAATACTTAATATCCAAAAGTTGCTGTTGTACGCTTTATGTTGTGATACTAAAGTTGAATCTCATCTAATCGCATAACCAGCATGCAACATTTTTCTTTATATTTTTGGTTTAAAAATAAAAATTCAAAAGATACTTCTCTTTAACTTTGGGTAAATAGTTCAATCCAACAGGCTTCATAAGCGGAGTCCCTGTTAAGGCGCTCAGAAGACTTCAATTATTACAGCTTTATTTTATAAAGCAATTCTCTTTGAGATCAGGAATCTCTTTTGAAGGCCTGATACAAGCAGGAGAAATAAACAGAATGAGCACGCACAGCCAATCACAACAAGCATTGCATCGAACAATCACAATAATCCCATTGAACATTTACTTCTGACCAAAGTAGGGCATAAAGAACAGGATGCTGTATCCCAGTTATTCTGGCTCTGGGTTTTATCAAACCCAACTATCACATTACTGCTTGTTGCCCTTTATGAATAGCTAATGTTAAGGAGACATGTTTCTGTTGGTGCCAAACCTGTTCAGCTACGTTTATTGGAAGACAATGAGAGTTATTGTCTGAACGTTACGACAGCGTGAAATTCATCCATTTCGACAGAAATGCACAGGATGCTGTGGCTGAACCCAAAAAGCATCACCCCAGGGGTACAGTGCGTGGCAGGAGCACATGTGGTTGCTGCTGTGTGTGTGTTTTACCAGACTGCTGAGCGAGATCCAGGTGAGTACATGTGGAGCGCAGGAGAGGAGGGAGATAGTATTAACTACCATATAAAATAATCAGAGTCAACCGGCTGGATGGATCAGAAGCTGAACAGCTGCCAACACTCTCGAGTGTGGAACGTGTTGTCACGAGTCTGTCAATCAGCATTTCTCGCATCGCTGTGCCAACAGTGCAGTGTGTGGTGTGTGTGTGGTGTGTGGGTGTGTGTGGTGTGGTGTGGTGTGTGTGATGTGTGGTGGTGAATAAAGCCCGATGCCGTGAGTGCAGCGGTAAACGTAAAACAAAACTCTAAGCTGCTCCCCGTCACCATCCTGGAGTTACATATTGGAACAGCGTCCAGAAATGAGTAATCACATTAAATGTCAGATCGATGGGAAGTGAAGTGAGAGGCCGCCACTGTGGGAGAAGCTAAGGCTGGTGGAGCTGTGGTCGGCTGTGTGTGTGTGTGTGTGTGTGTGTTGTGTGGTGGTGTTGTGTGTGTGTGTGTGTGTGTGTGTGTGTGTGTGTGTGTGTGTGAGTTCACCCTCGTGGGATGAAGTCCCCGATGCTCCAGGGTGGGGCCACGACCAGGTCTGATATGGGTACTGGACTCGGGGATGATGGGACGCTCGTCCACCTGCGGACGCCCAGGCCGGCTTGCTGATGATGTGCTCCAAGGAGTCAGCTGCTGCAGCTGGGTCAGGTCGTAGTTCCTACACCACACACACACATGCACATGCACACACAGCACACACACACACACACACACACACACACACACACACACACACACACAACACACACACAACACCACACACACACACACCACACACACACACACACACAAACACACACACACACACACACACACACAGACGTAGCGTTAGGCATGAAGGTCACAAAGTCAGTGTGTGTATGGGTGTCTGTCTCCCGGGATCTTACCTGGTTCCTCCCTTCCTCCCCCCTCTTCATCGGTATTTTAAGATGTGTTGTCCCCTGACATCATCTTCAGGGGTCCAATGAGCACTGCTTGGTGTTGCCTCTCCTTCTCTCTGCGCTTGATCCACAACACGAAACAACAGCACCCGATGCCTGCGGCAACACACAACACACACACACACACACACACACACACACAACACCACACACACCACACACCACACACACACAACCACACACACACACAACACACACACACACAGATAACACCAACACACACAACCCACAATAACCTTTAGCTACACTGCATAACAAAACACACAATCAGGAAACACTTTTATTAATCCTTGTCATTAATCAAAAATTAAGAGTCTGCAGTGGATGAGTCCCCTATGCTAACATGCTAACAATGACCAATGCTACGTGCTGATCTTAGCCAGGCAGATATAATGTTTAACCATGTTCAGCAATTTAACTTTTGCATGTTAGCAATATCCTGAGGAGGTAAAATGTGTGTATAATAATTGGATGGATTCAACTTTATTATTGAGATATTTCCCCTAAAACAGTACAAAAGTTTCAAGCCCTACATATAGGGAGTCTTTTTTTTCTGGTTTTAGCATTGTTACGTTTCTTAGAACAATGAATTGACAAATGTCTTCCTTGAGAGAGAAATGTAAAACTTTACTTGTGGTGTGGAAAGTGGTCAAATAAACTTTAAAATAAATAAAATGTGTGAATCACTTCAAAACGTTAGAGTAGTAAAATAATGAAGGATGGATCATTCACACACGTATAATCCAGTAAACATCCAACAGTTTTACCTAATGGCTATAGAACCCTGCAGCAGCCGCTCAGTTTGTCTACAGGACGTCTATATGTTTGAATAATGTGCCCCGCGGCATCAAGGTGTGCCAGCGGCATGAATAACCCAGCCATACACGGCCAGGAAAAGAGACGAAACCCTGCTTGTCAGGAATGCTGGAGAAGAGTGCAGCAGTGGAGGCCATTAATCCATTATCCAACTACTGTTCATGTTGCTGTATCGCCGGGAGGTTTAATGCTGAACCCTGAAATGCCTCTTTTTGGCAGAATCAATCACAAGCAGACTTAACTTTTACCTTAGTGCATGTGTATATATGTGTGTGTGTGACATCTCTGGAAGTTCTGAGGTGCAGTGGGTGGGATGTGAGCAGTGATACTCACTGAGCAGGATGATGATGCAGATGAGGATGGAGATGATGGCCCCGTCCCCAGGCCGGCGGCGCCACAGCTCGAGCGGTGGTGCAGTCTCCGTGCTCATCGCAGGGACACACCTCACCTTGATGACGGAACCGGTTGGGACATCGGAGGTTCCCCGAGTCCGACCACGATCACGGGACCCGTCGTACCACCCCGGGCTCAAGATATATTGGTACCGCAGGCCAAAGGCGGCCGTAAGTCACCTGTGCAGAGAAGGAGGAAAGGGGAAAAGTTACAAATGTAACTAATATTAACATTATTATTTAAACAACTACAATATAAGCATCACATTTCAAATAGGTTTCTCTTGACCAAAATATACAAAAAAGCTTCCACATAGGACCAGGCAACACGTTTGAAATCATTGTCACGTTATTAATTAGACTGTTTTTTAAAATGTTATATCAAATATTTACCAGTGCCGAAACGTCAGGGCCTTCAAGGTATTCAGAAGAATACCCTGGAACACTCAGATAAAAACAAACCAAAAAATCGATTTAAAGTATATAAATAAATGTAATATAAATGTTATATAAATGAATAAATGAGAATGGTATATGTGTTGTTGACTCTGTAATTATACAGTGTTACGTTGATTTGTTGTCTTCCTTCGGACCATGCACCTACGCATTTCAGTGGTTTTGTGTTAGAAAGAAAGCAACCAATCAGATCTTGTTCTGGGTCTCTGAGTTAGAATATCCTTCAACCAAGGTATTAATCCTTGATCGAATGCCCTGGCCGTTGCACTGAATGAGAGGCGTACGTTTGGACTGACAGTTTGATCAAACCAATCATATATGAGTTGTAGCCCAATGGGCGTGTTCTCTTTCAGAGTCCCCTCGGTTCCAGGGTACTCTAGAAGGCCCGCTAGTTAAACTGGCTCGAGACAGAGGATCTAGAATGCGACGAAGCAATCATGCCGTCTTATTGTTTTTACGTTGAAATGACCAAGTGCAACAGGTGAAGATGAAGTTGTGGGCGAATTGTGACATTATAATTTCGGGGGGGGGCGGGTGTGTCTACAGAAGGTCCAGTTGTGATAGACACGGTTCGCCACTGCAATATACCCGATATGTGTTTAGGAAATCTCATGCACAACACCCCATTATGTGTTACATCATCACAAATCTTTTACTCGTATAAAACAAAACAAAATGTTGAGTTACAAGGCAATTTGCTGGAAATCATGGATTTGGAAACAGTATAACAAGAAATTAAATGTATAATCTTAAAAAAAAATTGTAATAATATATCATGTATGATCATCATAACATAATAAGTTACATACATAACCTAAACTTGATAGTGTTTAATAATCGCCCATACTCCTACCATATTTAATAACTGACGAGATTTAGGTAAAAGCTAGTTTATAAAATAATGGATAGAGATTAGTATTAAATGTTTAGACTAATGCTACACTATGTTTTCTACTAATTTAACATTGGCATTGTAAAACGTATCATAAATGAATGTTCCCATGTTCTCTAAATGTCGGGGTTCTACGTTCACACTCCTCACCGCTGATCCGAGAAATGGTCCAGTTGCGCCGGATGCTGGCGGGGAAGTTGGGCAGCTCGAAGACGAAGGGTCCAGCGTTGGGTTCTGTGTCGGCGTCGGCAGCGGTGATGTTGACCCCGTGGACGTTCTTGTTCACCCGCTCACAGATCTGAGACTCCCTGGGTATGAGGGCTGGGGGGTTGTCATTAATATCTATCAGATAGATCTGCAGAGTGCCCGTGCCGCTGGCTGCAGGAGAGCCTGGGAGCAGAGAGAGGAGCAAATAGCATCAGGAGGGGAGGAAAGATGACGAAAGTGTGAAGTGAGAGGGATGTTTGAAAGAGAAGACATGAAGGAAGACAGGCGGGAGATAGGTAATGAAATAAAAAAAACGAGATAATACAAGAAAGAGAAGAGGTGAAAGGAAGTCTGTCTTTCCACATGGTGATGTTGGAGGGAGGGAAGCCGTGGACCTGGACGAGAATTTCTGCTCTTGACAGAACTACTTTTGACAGTTGTGCTTAGCAGCTCCTCTTTTAGCTTCAGAGCCAAATCCAAAGCATCAGAGTCGATCCAGAGCAGGCACGGCACATCCACTGGCCTGGAGACTGCTTAGGTGCAATAATGATGACAGTAACACAATCAAACAAGTGCTTGTCTGTGTGTATTTACACAAAACTAGGAGAGCCATCTTAGATTCTGCAGATAAAAGCTCGCTGCCTGAAATATTGACAGTGTATTTCTGAGAGGTGAAAAGGCCATTCTCATTGTAGTGCACGCAGTCCTGCTTTCTCCCTTACGAAATCACATCATTGCACACACACTGTATACCTATGAGCTAATGTGTGCGTCTCCACTGCATGATAACATACCTACATGACAAATGAGTCCTTGCTCACACATAATAAATCACTCCTTAAAAAGATGTACTCACTGTGAACGCCTTTTCCACATTGCAGAGTATATCAGACCATTGCATAAAGTATGTTATTTATTTACCAGATACCCTACACCAATACACATTTATTAACTCCATTGTTCTGAGATGGCTTGTCAGATTCAGCCAAAGACATCCTTTGTTTTCCTACTCTCTTCTGGGTAGTTTAAAGGCTGTGAAGCCGATGTGTGGAACCTGATTATTTTATTTGTAATATTAAAAGCTCAATTTGGAACCAAATATGATCAAAATGCCCTATAGGTGTATTTGACTCACTTTAGGAACACACAGTTGCCATATCTGCATACAAGTTTCACAATCATTTTGTTATACATGCTGATGTGACTTTATCAAAGTTATGATATTCTCTTTGATCAACTCGTTGCCACCAGTGTTGCACGTTCGATGTTGTGAGTCTGCGGACATTTTTAAGGCAATTGGAGGAATGTTAGTGTGTTGCTACTGCAGGCAGCCACAGCAGGTGCTGCATTTCTACAATATTGTCAGCCTCGGACTGTAATAACATGCACTAACGCACACAGACACACACCTCATCTGCAGGCACAATCCTGAAGTCCTTTGCATTGATTGAACAGAGCAACAGACCATCAACAACAACATTTATAGAGAATTGGAAGTAAAGAATAGACATTTGGTGAATCAGAGCGAGATGGAGGAGTAAGGAGAAAATGCATGAATGGGTGCGTGTGGTGTGAAAATGTGCCACGGAGGAACGTCAAGAAAGAAAGGGGCTTAGGCGTATAAAGCTCAGAGCTGTTTATCGAGTGTGTGTCAGGGGGTGACGACCCTTAGCTGCCTCCAATTACGAGTCATTTCCCCGCCATGCCCCACTGGCTGAGCCATTGGATGGAATCAAGCGACCCCAAGGGCCCATCTTTGGGATGAGATAAGGGCGATGTCATTTACAAAGATTTATGCAAAGCTGACAGATCTGCCAATTAAACACGGCAACAGAGCAAGACATTTGCCACAGGAGTGAGACACAGCTAAAGACAAGCCGTAAGTGAGACCGTCGGGAGTTGAAATTCCTTCTGACTCGTAACAATACCATTATTATTGCGATACCATTATCATTATACATAAAGTTCAACTGATTGAAGACATATGGAGTGATCAGTCATTTACAATATGTGGAACTGGAGCACTGGAGCAGTCTACATCCATTTTAAAGCCCACGCACCAGTCGCTTTAAAGGTTTAATAATCATAAATGTGTAATATAATCATCTTATTTCTACTTATAGTTCGTTTTAAACTGAACCATTCACATAAAACGGTAATAGCAGCTGCCAAATTACAAACAGCTATAGCACTTATCCAGAAGAAAGCACTCTTGGCTCTTGGTTGTGCCACTCCTATACAGTATGAGTCACAGTGTAATGTGAGGAGGAGGTGATTTTCTAAACCTGGCAAATACTCTGCATCAGATTTCAAATGTTTGTTACCAACCAGAAGTGCAGATTATATATTGAGGAAAACTATAAGTAGCCAATTCTATAAAACGCTGCTATACCCCTGCCCTATAACTGTTTGTCCCAACCCTCATTTTGTAATCACCTTTGTTTTGTCTGCACATGTGCAAAAACCGCTGCACCTTGGTAGCATCTACAATAAAACATTAAACACACACACACACACACACACACACACACACACACACACACACACACACACACACACACACACACACACACACACACACACACACACACACACACACACACACACACACACACACACACACACACACAGGCTTTTTCCTTCAGCAGCTTTGGTAATCCCAGCCATGTATGGGGGACATGTGGAAGCAGCTTGCCACAGCTGATAGGAGAATTATGTGGGTTTTAACCAGCTAAATAAATAATTATGTTTGTGTAAATTCCTCAAAAGGATTTGTATTAACTCCTTTTTTCTGATGGCGGCTCAGAGATGTGAGGCAGGGTGGAAAGACTTGAAGCAAGCCTACCATATACTCGTTGAAAAACACAAACAATACCACAGGGTGTCTAAAAATGAAGAGTGTGTGTGAAAAGGGTGTGAGGAAGGCCTAACATGTCGTGGGTCGACATCAACATATGGTAGAAAAACAGCTTCTTAACCTGATGTCATGTCCCATCCTAGACTTACCGTCTCATAGTTCTTCTTACCATAATCCCTCTCACGTTATGACAGCTGGCACTCCAGCAGCCCCCACAAAGTCACACTGATGTGGCATACACACTCAAATATGTATACACACACTCTTGGTCTCATGTTTTGGATTATTTGAAATACCCTTACATGTCATTTAGATAATGCTTTCATCCAAAACAACTTCATACACACACTTCAAAACCGTAAACATGCCTACAGGAACTATTTGGGGTTCATCATCTTGCCTAAGGACCCTTATTCATGTGGACTGCAGGGGTTGAACCACTGACCCTCTGATTGGTAGATGCCCATTTACCACGTGAGTTGCAGATGCCCACATTTCCAATATTAGCCAAACATACACCGCTCTAAACTGTGCACTTTACAGAGGTCAGGATGAGAAAACACTTCTCTACGGAAATAGGTAACATACAAATAAAAAAGGCGTCTAGGAAATAACAGGGGGAGAAATGAGATGTTTGTGAAGTTCAAACAGCAGGAGTGAGTCAACCTCTAATCCCGCTGCCTCCCTTCCCATCAACACTGCAGGTTACATGTCATGGCGTCTGAAGTTGTCAATCATCGCCAAAAAAAGCCCTCTCACACACACACATGCAAACAAACACTAATGCTCACATCAACGTGTAACAAATGAGAGCATTCTTCACACATGCTCACACCTATAAATACTGCAATGTTTCAAAGCCAGCTCAAGTTAAGGTAAACACACCAGTGCCCTGCACGTCACTGATAAGGCCATTTGGAGAAGGGAGGGGAAAAAGCTTTCCTTTCCAAGAACTCACTTCCACTTGAGAAAAAGGGATCTCAAACTTTGAGAGCAAATATATATGGCACAATGTGAAGGGAAAAGGATTGGGCAGTAATTGACAGAAAAAAAGGACGAGCGAATCAGCAGTGTGACTAGTTTATGTGAATTCAGGATTTTTTTCAACATCGGCTGCAGTGCACATGAATGCTGTTCTTCTTCCATCTCTGAAACACAAATGTCTTTATTTTCACTGTAAGCCATATTTTCATTTTTTTCTATGTATTTATTATCAAGCTTTTAACTCCAGCTGCACTGGCAACAGCAGTAATTGCCTTTCTCAAGGACGTTTTGAATATGTGTGAGAGGTTGTGTCCATTTTAACTTATTCCACCCTCCTGTCTGCAGCTGGTTTTGTCGCTTCAACCAGTGACTTACCAGTCAGAAGCCCTGAGTCTATGACCCATTCACGATAAAGGCAATGTTAAAGTGCTTTGAAATGACTGAGTGCTCATTTCAAAGTGCTTTTGGGATGTTACTTACTCCATTTAGGTGTTAATTATGCTTTCATCCCAGACAATGCTTTTAAAAAATCAAAATGTTTTTGAAAATGACTAAAGAATTGGCCTTCCTGTGATCCAGTACACTATTACTAAATGTGAAAAATTAGAACAACCAAAGGAAAATAATTGGTATTATATCTTCAGAGTAGCGAAGTCAAAATGATATAAATTAAAAACAGTAATTGCTCGAGTGTACAATCTGTCAATATGTTTTAGCTTTTTTAGCAATGGGAATAAGAACAGCAAGAATGAAATGTGTGCATTAGAAGAGGCTCTTACCATTATCTGTTGCCAGAAACGTTGCTTCATATAGGTTGTTTTTCACATAGATAGACTCCCGGTCCAGCATGGCTGTGGTTAGGATCTGACCGTTGGTTCTGTTGATGGACAGCCAGTCTGCCGGGTCGTTCAGCTTCGAATACCTAAAGGAACACAAAGGACAATTAATGGAGAAGTAAACGCTAGTGTTTACCAGCAGATTGAAAATGTTGTCTTGCGCCTGTGCATATAAAGATTGCCTGCACATAAACACACTCAGAAAATCACAACAGTCTGACCTTCACACAGTTTAATTCTTCATTGACTTCTCCTCCAGAGCCTGCAGCCTACAGTCAATTTCATCTCATTTCTCACTTCTGTGTACCAGCCATTGAAGTCAATTACCTTCCTAGTTAAGCACTGCTGCCACCGCCTGTGTGTGTGTGTGTGTGTGTTGCATGTACATATTCTAGGAAATGTTTGCTTATTCTAGGCAGGGCTTAACTTCATACATGCATATTTCAGTGTGTGGATGTTTGCAAATGTCACTGAGTTTGTGTGGCGATGCTGTGCAGAGACGGGTGGAGATGAGACGATAGGATCTTGGTTCTGATCGTGAAACAGGAAAGAGGACGTGGAAGCAGGTGGCGACATCCCCCAGGATAAAGGCCAACGAAGAAACAAGGGATCATCTCCAGGATTGAACCCCAATCTCACTCTGATCTAACTGTTCGTCGCTTCTGCTTGTTCAACACTTTCATTTCTATCAGATCTCTCTTGGCCCGTGCCGCCTCACCTCATCCTACGATGCTTTAGTATTCATACATTTTCTTATCCCTGTCTATATCTTCTCATCCATGTCTCATTCCCTCTGTGATGCGGAGTTCATCATCTGCCACCTCTGTTGCCTGCAATCTCCCTTTTCATGCGTGGAACATCGTTTGCGGACATGTGACACCATGGCCTTACACAACAAGGATTCTACCTGAATCAAATTTCATTTCAATGAATGTCATGTTATGTGACCAACACTTCCAGCATTTAAATCCATCCAAAATGAAATGGACTTGACCTTAACCTTGCCTTTTACATTTATTGAATGATTGTGTGCTTACAGTCAGTGTGTAGCCCACTTGTTTATTTGTGTTCGATTAAAAACTGCTTGAGCTTTTCTACTACATGGAGGAGAGTGAAAGCCTGGAGGGTTGGGTGGCAGTAAAAAGGGAGGGGGTTGGACAGAGAGTATAATCTCTCTCCTGCAGTTAAGGACGTGGGATTTTCCCAGCAGGCCGTGGGCATGATCCCAGGCGTAGCGCAGTGTGGGGAAGGGGATCACAGAGATGACATTCCCACACTCTAGACGGATTCACACAGGCAAGCCAAGCCCACCGCCACTAACTGGCAGTCTGTGAAATCCCCACCAGGACAACAGTGAGTCCATCTCAGTGGGAGGGTGGGATAAGAGAGTGAGGAATGTGATCAGAAATGGGTAGGAGGAAAGAGAGAGAGAGGGGTGACATTCGGAAGTAGCAGCCTGTCTGTATGATCGGGTTTTAATGTCCTCATTAGGACTGACTTGATACCTACTGCTATTCTCTGTCCAAATGCATCTCTATTGGCCTTGCCATGCCAAACCTTCTCTCCGTCCGGCCTGACAGAGAAAACATATTTCTAATGTAGAGCAGACAAACTGTTGCAAACTGCACTGAGCGGATATGTAAGGGTCCCAACAACAAGAATGTTGTTCTTTGAAAAAATGATTACTTTTTGTTTAAATTAAAATACCAGTTTGACATTTCGGTGAATACACTTTCTTTTTAACAGTGTAATGATTAGATTGATTGCACTCACATATATTATGCTGAATTGAAAGCCAGAGTCAACCGACAATAAGCGTAGGGTTTTTGTCCACAAACAGTGGAGCTGGTTGCCAGGAAACCTCCCAGTGATAAGTTGCTGTTCTCAAACAAGAAATAGCCCAGGGAAGAACTCCCAGTAAAACCACATCTGTTTCCCATCCTCATGCTCGGCTAAGAATATGGTCTGCTGCAGCTTTACATTTAGTGTACAAACATGATCATGTTTTTTCCTGCATGTCCCAAAATGCCTTACTATACCTTTAAACACATTCACTGCATATACAACCACCTGCATTATTAGTTTGTCCCTAAAGGTAAACTCCAGAAAAGTTAAGGTCAGAATGCACTTTGCTTTAAGTCCTTTTTTTTTACTTACTAATTTCTTCTGATAGCTCTCAGTAAACAATGGGGCTCCTCTGCCCCAGACTGATGATAAAGCCAAAGTGTTTTTGTTTACATGTCTCAATCGTCAACAATGTTGCTGTGGGCAATTGGCAGTCCCTATCAATAACTTTTTTAATAAGGTGCTATGCCAATTTATTGGAAAGGTAAACAGTCCTTCTTTACTCTAGTGCGATTTTGGAATAAGAAAGTTTAATTATTTTTTCCTGTGGCTTATTTCTCATGCCTCCCATAGCTCACCCCTACCTGAAGGTTTCTCTCATTTGGGATTTGGCTGGTGTGTGAGTATAGTGGGATGTATGATTAGGCCTGGCAGGTTGGTGATCTTAGCAAGCAGCAGGGAGAGACATGACATTTATTTTTCAAACCCCCGACCCTGAGGATGAAAAATGCATGTCTGAAGCTTAGCCAAGGAGGTTTGGGTAATCATTTATGCCAGTGTCTCCAGTCACACGCCCGACCTTACTGGTGGGGTGTCTGACAGGTGATGCATGATGTGTCACTCTGCGTCTCCCTCCCCTGCGTCTGTCCACATCGCATCCAAACTAATCCCAAAAGGACACTGTCAGTCTGTCCCTCCTTTGATGAGCATCCCTCAAGTTCAAACCTTGACACGAAGTCAGCTCCCCTTCCTCAGCTCCTTACGCCTCCTTCTCCTTAGCTCTTTTATTTTTAGAACCATACTTTCAACTTGCCTCCTTTTAAATCCCCTCCTTGCATCAGCACCATCTATTACAAAGACATACAGCTCTTTGTCATATGCAGAGTTGATGCCATTAATTAAAGGTAACATAAACTGCAGAGTGTATAAAAGTCTCCCCCATGCAAGCAGACATGTCGGCTAACTCTTTGACTGATGGGGTTTTTGAGGTATGCACACTGAGAGATCAGTTCTGTGTGAGAGAAGTTTGAAAATGAAAGTGTTGTAGGGTGATGCAAACATTGTAGAGGGTTTTAGCTGATTGGCAAGAATGAGCCCCTGAATCTCCTTTTTCTTCAGAATAATGAGAATTCAAGAGACGGAGGTAACAGCTTTGATTAGTGTCCTTACATAACAGTCTAGAGTAGATACCTATTATGGGACTGGTGTAAAGCGGGCGGATTGATAGTGATCCTATCCAGATGGATTCAAACGAATGAGGTGGTGGATTTGCTATCTCTACAGTGCTGCTTCCTCTCATGGAGCACAGAGCAGAGAAACCACTACTTAAAGTGGACCTATCATGCTATATTTGAATAATATATTATAGGGCCATACCTATATAAAACATCTCTATGAATTTCTTTTTTCAAAATACCAAACAGATCATGCATTTTAGCCATGCCTCATTTCGCTCTTTTCCAGCCCTGTTTTTGCAAGGGCTGATTCTGTGAAAAGTCTTCTTCACTGCTTTTGTGGCAGACTATAGCACCACTTACAGGCCTAGCATATGTACTACAGCGTCTCCAACGCTTTCGAGCGGCAATGGCCGTGGCCCCCCCCATTCCACATATAGGCGGAGCACCCCTTTTCTGACGTCAGAAAAATTCTAATCTGTATCAGATCTACTGCAGCCCCGTTTTTAGAGATTTGGGTATGGAGGAAAAGAGAGGGGGTTGTGTTTTATGACACTTGGTGAGTTCCAAAGAGGTTAAAGTGAAATCAACAGGGAGAGAGAAAGATGAGAGCGAGAGAGAGAGAGAGAGAGAGAGAGAGAGAGAGAGAGAGAGAGAGAAAGATGAGAGCGAGAGAGAGAGAGCGAGAGAGAGAGAGAGAGAGAGAGACCAGCTGGTGACTTTGGCGTCTTCTTAAATTATAATGTACACCCAATTTACTCTCATTTGCTGTGAAATTAACTGGGAAATTTGTTTAGATCTTTTCCCCAGAGGAAATGGGAAGGAAGAGGCTGCTGGAGTGTGAGGGTTGGGCGGAGGTGGTGTATTAATGCCACAGCCGTGTTATTAACTCAATAGCTGCACTATACTGTGCCAGTTACACTCACTATAATCTACAAGGACATTCTACATGTGACAATGAGTACAAATACAATTCATCTAAAGCTTTCTCTTTGCGACATCAATACAGAGCAAAGTGTACTCAATAGATCCTCTGTAAGTTTGAGAGGCCGTAATGCAGTTACTGCCACAGTCACGTTGACAGCAGGACTGAGGAAAGGCCTTCTGGTCATTTAAAGGTTGGTTTACATTTAAAATCCAGAGAGGCTTAGCGCAGAGAAAGAACACTGCAGGTGGACATAATGCTGTGTCAGGCGTTTGGGCTCGAGCCAGCTGCTCTCTTTATTCTCCTCCCTTTTTCCCTCCCTCTATCTCTCTTGCTGCTTTTGCGTGTGTGTGTGTGTGCACCTGCATGTATGTGCTCATGAAATCTACAGAATGCACACACTTCTGATTACTCCAGAGGCTATTGCTCCCTATTAACCTCATCCTGCTTACTAAGAGTTCTCCAGTGGCTCATAGGCTTCGCACAGTAAGACTTTGGGAGATGAGTGATGCCAAAATATAGTCCCATAGTTGAACTTTGACACCTAGCTACTGACCTGGAACCTATCCAAACTTATTTTTAGCCTGCTGTTAGCGCATATGGTGGGATTTCTGCCAGGATTGTACTAACAATGCAGCTAAGCAGACTTCACAGGAATTACTTTTCTGGGTCCATATGTAAAAGAACAAACATATTTTTCACCAGAAGACAATTAAGCTAATTGCCTGCAATTAAAATGTCCGAATTAGCCCAATTAGGATTATAATTGTAAAGGGTTATTGTAGTCACTCTGTACCTGATTGTCTGCAGCATCGATAGTCGGTCGGGATCGGAGGCAGAGAAGGTCGTGAGGCTGGTGCCAGCAGGGACCCCCTCCTCAAAGCGGATGTGTTTGGGGTTATTGGGGAAGTAAGGGGGCTCGTTGACGTCCTGCACGGATATGGTGACCCCAGCTGTGGACTGGAGCGACGACTGGATGCCACTGGCTAGGTGGGCCTGGTTGGAGACCACCACCGTCAGCATGAAGGCACGGTTCATCTCATAGTCTACTGGCTGCAGCAAGGAAGTAACAAGAAGAATGTGTGAGAAGAGAAAGTTGAACTGATTTCAATAAATTAAAACATTACAAAACCGTTTTTTATGCTAAACAGCCAGAGGTAGTTTTTAGATAATGAATTCCAGCACGGGTATAACATTAAACCCTGTGAACTCCTACATTATAAAGCTGGAATGCTTCAATGTTTACATTTGTGCTTCCTTATTATAATTTACCTAGTAGCCTACATTTTACATATTTAAAAAAAAGACTTCCAAAATATGATAGGAAGTTCTTCTTTTAATAAAATCCAGTAGACCCCTGTCACTATGTAAAGCCTCACAAAATATTACTGAAGTTAAATATCACCTCTGTGTGAACTGGTAAGGAAAATATAAACTACATCTATATGGTAATTATTGCAGTGTTGATATTGTTCTTTTCTGTATTCACTCAATTCATGTTCCTGTATATGTGGGGAAAAGAAAAGAAGGGATTTATGATTATTCAAAAATACATTCTCACTTAAAACTATCGTTGTCATTAATGATTTAAAGGTAAAGAAAAGAGATTCAAAATCTCTTTCTCAGTCTGTGAATATGAATAACATTAGAGGTATCATTACCATTATTACTTTTTATGAGCAAATGATGTCAAGTATTCCAGCATATATTACGCTCATTATAAAGTAAAAACGCCTGTCAACATTTCTCTTTTGTGGCTGGGGAAAATGCGCTGCACCTCGCTGATGATAAAGGACATTATAATAAATGAGCAGATGCCGTGTCAAGTGTTGCCATGATAAATTGGACCCATATTCTATCTAAACTACTCACACACACACACACACACACACACACACACACACACACACACACACACACACACACACACACACACACACACACACACACACACACACACACACACACACACACACACACACACACACACACACACACACACACACACACACACACACACACACACACACATCCTGAGAAGTGGCAGCAGGGCTTAGTCTATTCATAGGGTGCTGTCATGACTGCCTTTTGAGTGTGTGTGTGTGTGTGTGTGTGTGTGTGTGTGTGTGTGTGTGTGTGTGTGTGTGTGTGTGTGTGTGTGTGTGTGTGTGTGTGTGTGTGTGTGTGTGTGCGTCCCACAGTGTGTATATGTGTACTCTACAGGGGTTTTACCGGCTGAGCCTAAACCAGAGTGACAGTTCCGTGCTCTCCTAATGAAGACAACACGATCAGGTTCAAATGGCAACAACAACAACAAGCAAGGAAATAAAAAAGAGAACAAATATGGAGCTTGTAGGTCCTGCTGGCACATTTTAAATAGGCGGGTGATGATTACTGCTGCAAGGCTTGTGTCTGTGGGGTTTGATGGTGATGTTAATGATATTGAGCACATCTGTATGTTGCGTTGCCTGAGTGTTATCAGCGGACAGGTTGGCAGCACAGCTCAGATATAAAAAGACATTCTTAATCAGACAGCTTCGTTGACAAGGGCACCGGAGTGGATGTGTGTGTGTGCTAGTTTGTATTACACTATGTATGTATATATGCAAGGATATACAAGTAAATGGAAGCTCAAAGGTGTGTATTTGTGTTACACCTTTGGTGCACTTGGAACCTTTTTACAGGCACAGCACGTCCAAGGATCTTTGATCTACAACCAGAGGTATTCATAGCACAGGGTGGTCTAGAGTGTAGCTGTAGGCTAACTAAAACACGCATACAGTACACACTCACACACACACACACTCTGAGGGAAGCCAGGAGGGTGAGAGGTCAATAACACGGCTTCCATCTTTTGCCCATGAGCCGTAACATCTTACATCTCCTCTGTATCGCTTCGCTCGGTCCAGTCTTTCCCTCTTACTTAATTTGTTTCGCTGGACTCCAACTTCCCACCCCCTCGTCTGCTCACCCCTGCCCCCCCTCACACCCTCTGTGATCTTTGCTCTCTGCATCTTTCGATCCTCCAAAATCTGTCTTTGCCTCACTTCTCTCCTCCTCTCCACTTCCCCTGTCATCCCTCGTGTTTATCATAAGCTGCGATTTACATATCTTAATGACTCATTCGAACCAAGCAGCTCTGTTTGTGTGTTATTTTGCGTGCTTGTTTGTCTAGTGGCTCTATTACCGTGAGGAAAAATGAGAATGCGTCTCATAATATCCCCAGAGAGCAGTATAAATGTGTGACATGTTATGGTTAAGACCTCAGCCCTTGTTTACAGACAAGCCTTGTGGGAGATTGCCACATACCTAGGTGTCAGTGATAAGATGCGTCCGTGCTAGCAGCCGCAGATGGCTTAGAGAAATGGGAACACAGAGGTAGCGCCTTCTTACGGCTTCTTGACTTTACCGATATTGAGTCTGATGTGAACCATCGGCTCCCTTTTCCCGGAGCAAGCCAAAGCCCTTGTTTACTTGTTAAGACAGTCTATTTCTTCCCAGGGGGTGTCCTGTCTCTTATTTTATGATTTCCTGATAACCTCCCATGGGTGTCGATGGAAGCTCACGGCTACCCGGCTGCCTGCTGAATTTAACATCAGGGAGTGAGAGGAATGGATTATAAAAGGCAGTCATCTAGAGATAATGAAGAGAAGCAAAATGCCAATGCTCATTGCTCACGGTGCTGTGGGAATTACAAGGGTGATGTTATTGCTAGTTTATAAACATTATTGTAGGCTGTGAGATGTGATTTGCAGGAGTCAGATGCACAGAGAGAATACCCCCGGGTCCTCAGGGTCATGCGCATAAAAAATAAGTATTTCTACAAACACATGCAACATGAGAAACACATTAATAGCAAATGGTTGAACAGAGGAATACCAATGTTTAGGGACATTCAACAGGACGTACTGTGCATCTAAACACAGAATACCAGCTGAATATCATACAGATGTTCATGCTGTTGCTTATTTCCTATATCTTTATATAAACGGGTTAAAACTCTCCAGACAACCTCCGTCTGAGAGGTTGAGCAGCAAATTGTTACAAGACATGGTTTCGTTGTCGCTGTCATTTACCACAGCAGCTAGAACATTATAAGTGTATTAAACCGTTGCCTTGTAATTGAGAAATCAATACCTAATTTGCTACAGTGGCCTCGCTAGCCATTGTGTTTCAAGTCTGTGTGTGGGTGCATGAAGGGCACAGCAGCATCTAATACCTCATATGGATATAAGGGGCCATACTGTATGAAAGGGAAAAGACTCCGACTCTGAAGAATAATTATTGTTGCCTTTGATTTAAGGTGATCTAAAAGTCAGCAGAGACAAACAACAACAAACAAAAGTTTCTGAGATGAGCATGTTGTGATGACTTACCTTCACCACGGTGACCATGCCGTCGTTGCTGACGGGGTCCGTGCGGATGGTGAAGTGCCCGTTTGGATCTCCACTGATGATCCTGTAGATGGCGTTCCAGTTCGGAGAGTGCGGTTGGTCGGCATCTATCACCGTCAGATTAGCCACCACAAGATCCACTCGGTTCTCCGGGACCTCACCGGAAAACTGCAGAAAGTAGAGTCAAATTAAACACTGTTTTCTGACGCTTTAAAATATTTTTATTGTGACTGTAGGTCAGGTCTTATGGGATCCATTGAGCCATTTGAGCGTGGCAATTTATACAAAAGTGCTTATTTTTCATTAACATTTTCCCTTTACAGTCCTTCTTTTAGGGTTTTCAGGTAGAGTAAGTTTAATGACCACGCTTTACCACAGCTGAGTAGTAAACAGGCCGTAAACACAGTTTCACACCAGCAATCACATGCACACAGGGGCGTTGTTCCAGTTTCAGTGTTTTCTGCATTCCCAGTGCCCATCCTTGACGAGAAATAATATTTCATTCTTTGGGAGCCGGAGTGAAGAAGGAGAGAATAGATGAACAGAAAGAAACCAGCAGTGGGGAGGGTGAAACATCTGTCTGAGTGTATATGAGTGGCTTTTAGTTGTTTCTCCGCTTTACAAACACATGTGTTTTCTCCTGATAAGCTTGATGAGGAGTGAGCCGCTGTCTGTCATATGTCTGTTATGGTGGGGATTGATCAAAGCTGTACAGGCTCAGGGGATAAAGCCCACAAAGAAGAACAAACAACAGCAAAGAATGCACCGTTACGCTGTAAAAACACAACTCAACCGCAGCCACACCTACACGGACAACCCATCAACTCTTGAGCAATTACGTGCGGTCCGAAGGTGAGCATGTTGGCGTGTTGTTCACCTCATCTGAAGGCAACAGGCGTGGAGCATCATACAGTTGCCGTGTCACCATGGGTAACAGGCGTGGAAGAGCCGCTGAGCAGCTTATGTGAGTGTAGGATATCAAAGAGCAAAGCCCCAGACCAAACACTCAAACAGACCATAATACCCTGCCTGGCAACCCTTGCATCACCCAGCAAACAGCCAACAGCAGCGGGCAGATTAGGGAGAGCTGTTCAGAGACTCAATGACATTCTTAAGACAACAGACATGTCCGGGTGGTCGTGATGCACTGACTGAAACGTATAAGTATGCATTCTGTCGTATGTACGCGTCACAGTGAGTGTGTGTTTATGTGTGTGTTTGAGAGGTTTATTACCGTGGTTTGGTTCAGGGACTCCCCGATGCCAATTCAATAAAATACAACTTCAGAGATGGCTCTTGAGCTCCTAAGGGCCCTTGAGCATCTTGTTTCTCAGCACACAGTAACAAGTGAGGACGAGAGCAAACCAGATCTGATGGAAGGGTTTAAAGAGTCCACCACAGCTGTTAACATCAATACCCCAGTTTAAGATTTCTTCCCTCATTATCTCTTTATGGGGTGGGTGGTGCTCCTCTCAGGCATTTACAGCTAGAGTAATAAAAGTATTACTTATTTTTCCCTTAGGAAATCTTGAGTGTGTGGCATGGGCAGTTTTTCTTTATCTCCCAAACATAAAATTATATTATCAGTACAATCACTTAGCAAATTAATTTCAGGTAGTTCACTTTCAATGGTAAAACTTACAAGAGTGTGTAAATACCAACTTTAGGAGGCATACGAAGTCAAGTGCCCTCCAAACACTCAAAATAAATCTGTGAATTACTTCCTTTCTCGCATACCCGAACAAATGAAAAGCTTGTGAAATGCAGTTGATGTAAACATTCTCAAGGACACCATTTCATATATCTACTGTGTCATTAGGGTGCATCTAAGAGCTAGCTTTCAAATGAGAATACATTTCATAACAGGTTTTTCAAATTCTCCATTATATTCATTAATTTAATGATTGTTCTATTTCTTTATGACTCCATCTTTTATCATTAAAACTCTGACTTATGTTAGTGTTGTTGTCAATAAAGGTTTTTAATTCAGCATTTGTGATTTTGAACAGAGAGCAATCTTATCTCTCTTGAAAACGATGAGGTTTTTCTATATCTTAAACTCTTTTTATCATTTATTAGCTGAAGATTACATTTGACTGTATATACGTGTGGTGAGATTTGTTTTAACAGGGAGATGTGATATGGTCAAAGTGTTTTTCACACTAGATGTCCTCTTATCAGGTATGTCTTTTGTATATGATAATGTATCTTGTCCCCAACAGCTGGACTACAGGAAGGAGTGGAAAGCTCTTGGATTGTGATTGGCACGGAACACTTGGCTTTCTAACAGCACTTGACAAAATACCTCTTGCCAACACTCTCACCCGTCTGTCACTATTTTGGCAGTGGGGAAAGACTAAAGGGGGAGGGAAGGGGAGAGAAAGGAGAAGTGACAGGGGACTTCATCATAGGAACTGTGTGAGGATGGTAAAGGAAGGAGGCCAAGGAAAGCACTGCAGTACATCCAGTAAAGAGACACCCTGATGTACACAACTACAAAACGTCCAGATACGATGTGGGACACAGTCGTCACAGAGCTGTTTGAACAAATAAACAAAAGAGATAAATATATATTTTCTCAAATCATCGCATCCATCAGCATCACAGGCATAATGCAAAGCATGTATGCAGCCCAGAATAAGCTTCCCATCCGTTCACATACGCCACCCTTTGCCGCCGTGAAAAATAGGGCAGCCTCTGATAGGCATGATGAAATATTAATCATCAACATTAAAGACAAATTCCCCAAACTTTGTATTTCTGGGACACGATGGAAGATCTATGGGGTTTATTGCAAACACTAAACATTTGCATAATGGCCTGCATTCTCAACAAAATGGCTTTTATGTTATCCCACCACTAAAATGTGTGATTTATGGAGGGAATGGGTAAAAGTGCTCTTCTCATCACTGCTCCAGACCTCCACTAAAGTTTATCATCAATATCCATGATGGCGATGATGGAAATGCACTTAAACATGGTGGAATACAGTTAGAGAATATCAATCTATTACTAGCCACTATCATCAATAAGCAGTCATCAGTAGAGAAAGTTAAATCAGAGAGGGATGCCGAGTCAGGAAAGGCCTTTGATTTACAACAGGGCACGTCTCTGCTTTATCACTATCTCTGTAGAAAATAGCTCCTGTGACCAAATTATCCTTCACTCTTCCTCCTCTGCCCATCATTCTCTCATCACTTTTTCCTCTCTTCATTTTTCCGTCAACGTCTGCATGGTGGTCGGCTCATCAACTCGTCGTCCCTCTTTGTTCTCTTTTTGCTAACCATTTCCTTTGTGAGTCTTCCTCTGCCCTCTCTCTGCACATGTCATGCTGTGTGTGATGTAGCAGCTCTCTGATGAGCTACAAGGTTGACACATGCTTACCGCCAGTGCTAACTCATCATCATAGGGGTTTTGATACCCCCCAGGGCAAATGCTAATGCTAACTCCTCTGCTATACCACCTCAAAGAGCAGAGACGACTGTAGTGCTGATATCCCCTCAGCAGATGCAGAGCTAAGCACCTTATCAACCCAAACATCCCCATGCTCTCATCACTACTGATAGCAAAGCACACACTCTGAATAATTCTGACCCCTTAAGCCAAACTGACACCTAGAAGAATTTTTCATCATAACTTGGAACTTAAATGCAGACACGCTGACTCCACTGTCGACCACATTGCTTAACAAATGCATGTCTCTGCCACATCAAATATAAAAACATTCCTCATTTTATTGAATTAAAAACGTGGAAATAATTGCAAAAATATTTGAGGAATAGGCTACTGCTGCCACCTTGGCTGTTTCACATGCACATCTAAACATGTATCATCATCTCTGAGAGAAATTACCAGAATTAAAATAAGAGACTGCATAGAAAGTCAACTTTTTAAAAACAACTACATCTCCTGCTTCACTTGTTAAAGTATTGATTATGTAGCTGCATTTGACCACATTGTACATTACTTTTAATTTGACTCTGCTCTCAATAATGACCTCCTGTAATGTAATCATCGTTTTAAATATCAGCATCGCATCAACAACCTTTAACGATTTGCTGGGTCTAATTTTCTTGCTGATGAAAGTCAATATATGGATTAGTTTTCCTTGTGTGTTAGTTTGTATCCTCTACGAGGAAATAAGATAAGTACCCTTTGCACTTCACAATCCTCCTCCTGGCCATGTGTACAACTTCCTGTGTAACAACATTACAGTGGTGTAGTCATTTCCTTTTTCTTCCTTTCATTCTATCCCTCTCTCCTTTTTGTCCTCCTCTTTTTCTTCAATGTACGTCACTCACTAGCCTTAAATATATATTTTGAACAGTCATTCTCTTCTCTTAACCCAGACCAAATTCTTATTCGAGTTGCACCACAGTAGAAACTCACAGTTCTTGAGGTCAGCATGGGAGGGTTGTCGTTGATGTCGGTGACAGTGATGATGGCAGTGGCCGTGTTGGAGAGGCCGAAGTTTAGATTTCCCTCCATGTCCGTGGCTTGTACGATGATGGTATACTGGGACACTTTCTGTAACAGACAGAAACAGAGAAAGAATGCAGTTATTCATGTGAAAAAAAGAAACTTTCTCTTCATCGAGTCTACAGCAACAACCACAGAGTGTGAATCCCTGAGGGAGAATAAGCTGCGCTTGTGTTCTGTTCTATAGTAGCGGTCCATTCTCTTATTTGAAACACAGAATCACAGTGGTGATGTCTTCCATTCGACTGCGTTAAAACCTCCACAGCGGAACGTATCCAGACTTCACACCATCTGAAGGCTGCACTGTGGAGCCTCCCCATGGGTATGTCATCAAAGACGTTTCTTATCCAGTGCCACTGATGGACAGATGTGAAGACAATGATCCAACTGACAGAGATTAATAGACTATCTATAGAGCAATAATACAAGAGAATGATAAATGCCATTTCATCTTTTGAAATGACACTTCACTGCAAGCTGAAAAATGGTTCTCTTATTTCTATTCGAGTACTAGCTTGAGCTGCCTCTCTATTCCAGTATCCACTCTCTTCCTCTGTCCCACGGTGCAGTTAATGGGCTGCAGGAAGGATGGAGTCTGGGAGCAGACTGTCTGGGTAACGTGTCTCGTCACTGAGATTCCCAATTACAATCCCAGTGCCTCTCTCACCTGCTAATTACCGAGTAAATATCCCAATTAGGCCAGGACGCTACATCAGGAGGATTAGACAGCTCCTCTCAGTTCCTCTCATCTTGATGCTAGACGAGATGCTGAACTCCAACCTTGTACACACACTCTCATTAACACCCTTACGTAAACACACACACACACACACACACACACACACACACACACACACACACACACACACACACACACACACACACACACACACACACACACACACACACCTCTCTTCCTCCCTATATTGTTCAGAGGCAGTGCTTGGCTGGCTGTCCCATCAGCCAGTGTACAGCGTGTACACAACACTCTCACTAATTAGACAAGGGAGTAATTATGTAGAGCTCTTCTGAACCTCTCAGCATTGCAACAACACCGCAGCATACCCAGCTTCCCCTGGAGGACTGAGGTCTGTTACTGTCAACAAGCTCTTAAAAGTCCACTGCAGACCAGGGGAAACCTTTAGAAGAGATACAGTGTGGGAGCTTATAAAGGGAAGGAAGAAAACATTTCAAAAGTGAAGAACAGAGGAGGAGATAAGAGACAGCAGGGGATGCAGCCAAGGCACAAGGGAGAGACGACCAAATATAGCTGCGTGTGTTTTCTTTTTTTGATGCACCTAACACCTCAAACACCCTAGCCCAAGAAAAGAAGGGAGATGCAGAAACTTTCAAAGTTTTAAAGGGCCAAAGTGCTGACTAAAAGAAGACCAGGGAAGCACTGCAGTGTAGCATATTTTTGAGATGATGTACAATACATAAGAGTTCATACATTTTTCTCTGCAAGGTTGGAGACTTCTCATCTCCTCTAATAATGTTGCAGGAAAACCAGTACATGTGTTTGTATGCATTTGTGTGCACCACAAATGCATACATTAATTGTATGTACACATGTATGTGGGAGAACACCAAATGTAGAGAATCTGATGCATGTACTGTATCTGTGTTTGTCTGTGCACATACGGTATGTTGTCGGTATGTTGTCGGTATGTTGTGTGTACGTGTGTGTGCGCGCGTGTGTGTGTGTGTGTGTGTGTGTGTGATTGTATATCTGACTTTGTGGGTCCCCATTCAAATTTTTGAGAAATGCAGATATTCCTTGCATGCTTTTCTCAAAATGTTCTCAACTAATTGTTTTAAAACGACTCACAGTCAAATACATTTCTCCTTATCAAGAATATAGATAATGAAGTAGAAAATGAGTTCTTTATTTAGTTGGTATAAGTGAAAGGACAGTGATTGCCCCTCCCTTATTATAACCAGTGAGGGGTCTCTGAGCAGGCTCTTTGCCCAAATTGTCTCCATTGGAGCCGCTCAGTGGCCAACATACAACACTGAAGTTGAACTGGGCAGTTACCAGGTGTGAATGTGTGTGGGGGTGTGATGCTACCTTGGGGAGGTTAATAAAAGGGGCTTGTGAGGATTTATGTCTTTACAGGTCTTCAAATGTATAGTTGTATAAACATGTGTGATTGAGTGTGAGTGTGTGTGTGTGTGTGTGTGTGTGTGTGTGTGTGTGTGTGTGTGTGTGTGTGTGTGTGTGTGTGTGTGTGTGTGTGTGTGTGTGTGTGTGTGTGTGTGTGAGTGTGTGTGATGTGTGTGTGTGTGTGTGTGTGTGTGTGTGTGTGTGTGTGTGTGTGTGTGTGTGTGTGTGTGTGTGTGTGTGTGTGTGTGTGGTGGGGGTAGGTGTTTAATCCCACATTAGGGGTGACTGGCTGGATTAGCATTTTGGGGAAAAAACAGAGTAAAAATAAGCAGCTGAGACATTTTTACTCCATGTTCCGCTCGTACCTCTCCCTCCCTCTGGCACCGTTGTGTCTCATCCTGCTTCTCTGTATCACCCTATTTCATTGCCAAATACACACTGACATCCTCCCAACTCATTGTAATACCCCGTCTGCCCAACTCCGTTTTTGTTCCACTGCTCCCTACAGTTTTCCCCCCCCACCCCCTCAATTGCCTGTGTTTTATCGAGTGTATATGTGATTATATGGGCCTTTGTGTTTGTCTGACAGGTGTCAAGGGCATTCTATCTCAGATATTTCCACTTTATCTTTACTACGCAAAGACATACACAGGGACAAACACACACACACACACACACACACACACACACACACACACACACACACACACACACACACACACACACACACACACACACACACACACACACACACACACAACAACGTGAGCAGCCCACTGCAGCGTGATGTGTTGTTAATAGGTCTGTCACCGGTGACAGTTTGGGAGGATGATTGTCTCGGAGATTTCTTTGCAGAGTTGTCACTGGCACATCCATGTCATAAGAATAAACACATTTGGATCTTGTCACAACTTTTATAGCTCCATAAACAAGGTGACCGCAGAAGAAGGCAATTTACTGTAACAAAATAAATAAAATAAAAGACTGCATGTGATGACAAATGGCTAGTCAACATTTTAAAGTTGCATCTCAGAGTGTCATCAAAGTAAACAATGCTTTTAGGAACCGTGCTCCATAAATAAAGATAAAGGAGTATCATCTGGCCAGCTATAGATGATTCAGACTGTGTGCACACTGCTGAATTGTCATTATATGTGAAGGCTGCTTTGCAAGATTTTATTCATGTGAAACATTAAAAATAAATTGAGAATACTGTGAGATTAAGGAAACCAACCTCTCGATCGAGGCCGGCTGCCACGGTAACGATATCTCCAGTCTCACTGTTGATGGTGAACATGTTGGGGATGGGGCTGTGCGGCGTCTGGGACAGGATTCGATAGCGCACCATTCCGTTAGCCGTGGTGTTGTCGTCACCGTCGAACGCTGACACGTGCATCACATACGTCCCTGATGAAGAAAAATTATATTTGTCAATACATTTTCACCTTTCACCTAGTAAGGATGCCACCTGGGCGCCTCCCTAGGGAGGTGTTCAAGGCACATCCAGCTGGGAAGTGACCGAGGGGTAGATCTAGGACCAGTTGGAGGGATTATATCTCTTCGCTGGCCTGGGGGCGCCTTGGGATCCCCCAGTCAGAGCTGGTTAATGTGGCCAGGGAAAGGAACGTTTGGGGCTCTCTGCTGGAACTGCTACCCCCGTAACCCGACCACGGATAAGCGGGAGAAGATGGATGGAGATGGATGGATGGAATACATTTCTAACCATTCAGCGAGCAAAACAAATGAACACACTCAGGCTTTCTGCTGATGTAACCTTACCTAGTCTGGTGTGAACACTAGGGTCTAATGTTAGCTGACTTCTGGGATTGTTGTGTGCCTGACTTTACTAAATCAGTTTGCTGACTTCTAGACTTATCTCTTCTCTCCTGTTCAGGTTACAGTTTTTATGTCACGGATAAACATGTTCTTATACACAAAATAAAAATAAGCAACTGATAGTCTCTAGTTGCCATAGTGGCTTCTGTTCAGAATTTCTTTGTTTAATTTTGATACAAATATATTTATTTTAACAAAACATTTTGTGCTTTAATTGTATAAAAAAGGGTTCTGCACTCAGTAGTTTAATCAACCATCCAAAAAACAGATGTTATGACAGTTATACAGTATTGGTAACGATCACACACATATTGGTTCACAAGTACATAAACATGGCGAGTAAACCACCTGGATGACCCATAACACTTTAATAACACTTATAATGTGAAAGCATCTTCACAGATTTATGTCAGCAGAGAAATGTTGCACACCTGTTCAATGAATAATAAAGACTCAATAACTACAAGCACAAATATATAATGCGCACATTTATAATTATGACCAGATTTTATGGCATCATATATCATATTTTGGATTGAATGGATACAATGACAAGGCTGCAAATGGTGAACCATTTCATCTTTACTGACTGAAAAATGGAAGGTTCTTGTACATGCTCAAAGTACATTTTGATGACAGATATTACTAATCACATTACTCCGTTACTATTTGCATAACATTAATAGTAAACACTTGCTTACATTGATTAGTTGTAAACCTGCCCCATATACAGTATATGATTCAATCTGATTACAAGCACAGGTAAGCACAGGCGTATAGGATTCTGTGTCAGCGGAAAGAACGAGCCACTATCCGTCCATGAATGCACCACTTGTTTGCTGCCTCCACACACTCATAACTCTGTGGGATCTCAGCCTGTCACCCAATCTCTCCATCTCTCCCTCTCTCTCGCAGCCCATTCTAATTGCCAGAGATAGTGATATCATGCCAGTGACAGCCCCTGTCCGAGGATAATTGTAACCGCAGCTCCCATTTCAAACTTCATTACATTTCAAAGCAACATTTGTCAATGACTCGGCCATAGGGAGCACTCGAAAGGCCTCTCAGCGAGACGAGGAAAAAAAAGCCAGCAGGAACAGAGGGGGGAAGAGAGGAAGAGAGGACTCCATATTTGTAATGATTCCGAAAAGGAGTTCTCCAGCCCTCCACCCTTTGTTTTTCTTTCTTAAGATGGAGGGATAGAGAGGAAGAGATGAAGAATCACAATGCGTCACACATCGCTGGGGTAATTTCATTAAGCTGCACTCTTAAGGGGTTTAATGTGGACCCTTTGTACGGGCGTCCTAAGCTGTGCCTGACAGGATTAGGTCCCCATAATGACTCTTTAATTTGCAAACTAATTCAAGTCTGTAATTGGCCTTGCATTGAAACCACTGGAGCTCTAAACTCTAAAACTCTCCTTTTTTTATGATTATTGTTCAGCTGAATGTCATGCATGCCACAGAGACTTGTCTGCTGGGAGGGGCGAGGCTGAGAGGGAGGGAACAGCAGCAGCGATAAAAGAAAGAAAGAAAGACAAAGAAAAAGGAAATGAGAACCTGGACACCTCTTGAGATCACCTATGGTGCAATAAACTCTGGCTCATCAGGCTCACACACACGCATACACACTGAGAGCTCGTCTCTGGGATTCTTCCGCTCTGAGGTTAGACATAAAATGACCCAGTGGTGCTACAGCGTGGTACATTTAATCCTCAATCTCCTCTCCAGCCTGAGCACCCTCTTTGGTTTATGGCCGCTGCTGCAGAAGGCTCAGTGAAAAGCCACTGTGGGAGAAAGATTCACCGGCGTCTGCTAAATCAAGGTGTTTGGACAATTCTCTATTGGGTCAAAGATTCACTGGTGCAGTCATTCTTTTAACTGCACCAATCTCTCCAGATATACTCATCCTCAGTCAACCTGTATCCCAACACGTCACCCCTCCACACATTTCTTTAATCTTTTCTAATAAACACTTAACTTCTTTGATTGGTCCTGCTACATATTTTACTCATTGTTTAATCTACCTATCCATCCCTGCTTCATTACCTGGTTTAGAGCCTTCATCCACAGAGCCATTGTAGACCTGGTTTTTGAACTCGGGTCTGTTGTCATTCATGTCGATGACGAAGATGTACAGATCGATGGGGTTCTCCACCTGGTTCCCATTCATGTCCACAGCATGGGCTCGCAGCTAGGAGACACGAAGACACAGAAAAATCAGGTTGTATTTAAACTTTTTGGATTTGGGAAGAAATGAACTGATAAATAATGTATGAAGATGAGTGCTAGTTTCATAAAGAAATATAATTATGTAGGGTAAACATTTGGTGATTAATGGATAAAAAACATTTATTACAGAAGGAACAAGGGATTCTTCAATTTAACAACTTTTATTTATAACCTCTTATTCATTAATTCATATTTTGGTTTCTGACACTTTTACAGTTCTAGTTTGTCAGGCAAATGATGTTGTCTCTGCATGTTGGAAAACATATTTTGAAATGTATGTTATATTTTACACGTGAAAGTATACATTTTCTGTTGACTAAAATGTTATTTCAGAATACTTTAGTCTGGTTTAGTTAAGTTACTACTCTTTTGCAACCTTACAATCTGTGGTTAGAATTGGAAATACTCAAACTAAATATTTTAATGGTTGTTTTGCATGTTTGAATATCATCTTCGTTTACCCTCAGTGTAATCCCAAATGTTTATACTCAAAGGAATGGACTGGAGAAAGCGAGAAGCAACATAAATAAAACACAAACAAACGTTAAAGTTTTCTGAAGCTTCAAGGTGAATGCTTTCACAGAACCTCTAAAGCCGAACAAAAACCCACATTCACTCAATTTGTATTCAGCTCTGCTAAAAAATACACAGTCTGATCAAATCTGCATTGTTGAATAACACAGTATACCATTTTCAAAAAGATTTATTTAAAGAAGTACAAGGTAGGGTCATAAGAGTCACTCTATATATGTTTCTTGGAAAGAGGTAGCCTTCGCCATCATGTACCGTACTTTCTTCTCTTCTCATCTCTTTTACACCTAGTCCCTGCAAGTGTTTTATCTCGGTACAAAACCAAAAAAAGAAACATCTTATTTATTCGAAGCAGGCAATGTTATAAAGGCAAAGTTTCCGTGGTAGGATCACTGTGCATCCCAGAAAAACATTCTGTCAGGTTTTGTTTGAAAGAGAGCTCTGAGAAATCCTCACTTCCCTCTGAATCCACAAACTCCGTCGGCGCATCTCAAATTCAACTCTTCTGTGTTTAGATCAATGGAATCGCCAACTAGGATTTCTCACAAAGTTTGGACATGAAGTTATCACTGGAATCAATACATAGCGTGAAATGTGTCTTGACTGCTTTCTCTGGGGGAAAGGAAAAGAACCGAATGGAAATGAGAGCAGAGAAAAATAACTGAATTATCAGGGAAATGTTGAGTTTAAATAAATACTTGAGATTTGTCTTCTCACTGCATACTTGAAGGTCAAACTGCATACAGAAAAGCCCTTTCAGAATGGCTCTCTGTAAGGCTGTTTTGATTTAGTTTACCTTACCTGGGAATATTTATATCCCTGACCATGACTTATTTAGTGATATTTCTGTCAGCTGCAAGCACCGGGGATGTTTAGTTTACATGATACCAGAGGGGAGAAAAAGGCTCATTCAGATCCTATCTACATCCTGCTCCTAAAAACATAGGCTTGTAAATATGTATTCAGTCAAAATGTCAGCAATCAATTCGAGGCCCCTTCACCTGATCTTATGCTAGGGATATTCATCTAAAGGTGGGATAAAAAAAGACAGAATTGGAAGCAGCTGGAGGAGGCGAAATAAAATATATTAGAAACTACAAGAGAAGATAAAAAAAACGTAATTTGTTTCATCATATATGGAGGATAATGGGAATGATACTCTTCCAGTCTTAGTATGCTCGATAGGAAATCTGCTACCTGGCCATTGCATATAGCACTAGAGCCAAATCAGTAAAATAGCCTCCAGGCTTGTTGTGGCAGAAAATAGAATAAACAGCATTCTCCATAGGCTCCTTCTCTTCAGAGAGGTGAAGATTTCCCCCACTGCCGCCCATCCTCTCCTCCGTCTGCTTCCACTTTGCACCTCCACCAAAATGTCCTCTTAAGGTCTCCCTGAGGTTAATTTGACTCTACTTTTTCCACTGCATTGTCTGATCTGTCCTGCCGCCGCAGGCTGTTAGAGGCTACGAGCCTTATCTCTCCCCACCCTCATCCCTCCATCCCGCATGCACCTACACCCTAATTCAATAACAGCAAGAGTCAGAGATTACCGCCATGTTTAAAGAAGGCAAAATGCATTTCTGGGTCCACGCTAAAGTTATTATCTTGAAAGGCAGGTGGAGAAAACAGACTGCACCAGGCAGTGCTCGGCTTTTGGCAAAGAGGCAGCATACTGATAGAGATAACAGCAAACCCGGAAGCTCAAAGGTTTTCCCTTACAGTGCATATTGTTAGAGGGCTGTATTTGAATTTCAACTGCTCTTGAAATAAAAAGAACTAGACCGTAACTTTGTTGTGCCCTTGCATGACATATGAAGTAAAGAAAGAAAGAGCACAAAGTCAAATTTAACTTTGTGTGATTTGCTCAGTAAATAAATTATTCCACGTCTTTTAAAGTTCTCAGAGGAATGAGCATGTTCATGTTTTATACAATACAGTTTAATTGCTTTCTTGTAGCTTTAACAGCATTAAGTGTGAGAGGAATTTAATTCATTTAGAAGTGCAATTCTGTTTACACGTACATCTTGTCTCCACTGGTTTCTCCCTGAAATTTGTATTGCACCTCAACTAAAGTGTTTTCTCTACAACAAACATGGAGTTTAACTTAAGCCGCCCTTAGCAAGCTTCCGCCTTTCTTAACAAATCACCTCATTGATTGGAGTTTGTCCTGGGTATAAATCTGCTCAGCTCACACTAAGGTTGGACTTGGCAGCTCACTAGGAGTGTTAGTCAGGACTAGGTTCCCATATCAATGGATAGCAGCAGGTACACATACTGGGAAAAAAGGGACAAACTGCCCTGAAGCTCTCTTTCCACGACTATCTTAGGCAACAATACAACAAGTTTATACTTTTATGAACTTTAAATGCACTTTGCCTGAATGTTTAATACTTACGTGCCTTGAACAGCAAGCAAAGCACAAAGGTGAGAGGAGGCGTTGTTTAACTCCAATGAGGAAGCGCTAAGACAGGTGTCTTGTGCAATTCGTTTTTTGACCAGAACAGCATGGACAACACAAAGATGGCCATCCAACAGTGCTCTCCATCTTGTCATTTAACTTTTCTCAAGAAAGCCAAAAAGCACTTTTCCTAAAGTCTAACTATTCCTTTGATGAACCGACATGAGAAAGACATCGATATTCTCATCTTGTTTTCAGAATTGCGTTTCAATTGTTTTTCACATCTTGCCACTCACTTATCTATTTTTATTCTTTATTTGCCTCAGTTACTGGCACAGTTTTATAACACAGCTATGTTGCTGGCAGAGAACTTAATAATGAATGAACACATACTCTAACTTTAACCACACCTTTAAGAGTAAATGTATTCCTCCCACCATTGCTCTGCACTTAAGTTTTGATTGTTCTTGCAGTGATAGAAGAACAAGAACCAACACGTAAAAAACTCCTTTTCAATTTCTAGTGACTTCTGGCTTATTGTAATAATGTAAAGCAACATTGTTATGTATTCTTTTTTGATTTAATTAAATTATTTCTAAAGCTCATTTGTTTTTTCATAATGTGATATGTTGAGCAAATGTATGTTGGAATAATGAATGAAATATTAAATTAAATCTAAAACACATTATTGCCATCTCATGCATATTTCATATTTCATGTTTCAGGGTGAAGCGAACACTGTAAGAATTACAATTATACTATAAGTGAGGGATTTTATATGCTTTATTTTATTTTATGGTTATAGACTCAGCACCAATTTATATTAATCAAAATGACGTAGGATTATATTTTATTTATTTTAGTTTCTTATCTAAGTTTATCTCTTTGGGTAATATCTTATTTGTATTAATTATCGATTTTGTTTTTATAAGAAGGCTTTTTCATAACATAGAACTGGATAGAACTGGTTCTGCCTTAAACCTGCTTGTTGGGGTGGTTTATATTTTATGTGTTAAAGGGACAACTGTCTGTAAAAGGAAGTTTGTGGTTTATTTCAAAGGTCACAGCTGAGCACACACACACACACACACACACACACACACACACACACACACACACACACACACACACACACACACACACACACACACACACACACACACACACACACTACTCACATGGTAGGAAGAGCGATGTTCTCGATCGAGAGGTTTGGTGACGAACATCTTTCCCACCACGGGGTCGATATTGAACACCTCATTGGGCGGTTGATCTGCTCCCACCCCAGTGATGCTGTATCGGATGGATATGTCCTTGTCTTGATCTGAGCGAATCTGCGTCAGAACAAACAAAGAGGAACTGTCAATCAATGGATTAGTGAAGTCTTATACTGCGTTTCAGCGCTCTTACAGTGAGGAATCTCAACTCAAACACACAGCCGGCCTTAACCTATTGGAGCAACATGTGCTGAGGGGTGTTTATTACTCAAGCACCAGTTTGTGATATGCAGCTCGAGTTTAATAATTCCGTCCTGACACAACCCCAGAAATCTGATATTGCATATTTTCCCACTGGAAAGTGGAAACATGCACAGGCCACACACACTCCTTCTCACACACACATACACACACATATTCATCACAGTTTGGCATTTCTAGCTTCCACGTACTCAAGGATTCCATTAGTGCTGCCACAGGGAGCGCTATGTATTCTGTTTGGCAGAATTGGACAGCTTAAAAGAGAAATTTAAATTCAATTTTTTTTGGGTAAGGAGAAATGAAATCAACATATATTTACTGTTAACTGACAGGCAGGTACTGTAGTGATTTATTAAGATTAGCTCGAGCCCATAGCTGGGATAGAGACAGGTTGTGAACAATAATGGCAATTAGGGAGGAAAGTGTGGTGGTAATTCGGTTGTAATTAGGGCAGCAACAACAGGCTAAAGCAATAAACACGCTGTTAGAACACAAAAATGGGCAAGAAGGAAATAATCATCTCAAATTCAAGGGTGCACACATAACAGAAATATTGAATAACGGAGGAGATGGGAAGCGCAGTGTTCAGTTTGTTTACTTCGATTCAGCTTTTCCTTCCGGACAGACAGTGAATAGGTGCATTAAGTGCACTGTTAGGCCTGTGATTTGGGCTGTGTAATTGGAACTCATCTGGAGGAGTTTTTCAATTTACTGCCCAAATTGAGTCCAAACCTCTAAGCATCCCATCTCTGTCCATTAACGACATGACAGCCCATGAACATCAGCTGGTGTATCAAAATGTCTCAATCATAAAGCTACTCCAGTATGCGGGCACACACACTGCACACACACACACACACACACACACACACACAGAG